TGTGTATGCTCTACATACTAGAACTGAAAAATTAGAATGCTCGGAAGAAATTGTTGCTGAAAAATCAGATGCAAGCCTCCACTCATCCACGCCGCACCAATATAGTGTGTGATATCGTCGTCGATATCCCTACTCCCCAGGATCATAGACCCAAGATACTTGAATTTGTTATCTCGAGTATATTTTGTGTATCGTTTATATAAAAAAGAATATTTTGTCTGTCAAGCCTCACTTCAACGCTACCTCCTATATCACATCGTTAAATTTGCACTCAACATATTCTGTCTTAGTTCTGCTCAACTAAACCCTTTAGTCTCCAAAGTTTGTCTCTACGCAATTGTAATTTAATCAAGTTTCATAATAATTAAATTTTATTTCTTCGATATCCATTTCGAATGAATTGATTTTCTTAATTTGAAATAGGTTATATAAATGATAAACTATGAACTCATTAAGTACTCGAGTACATAAAGTATATATTGCCAGCTTCAACCATAGACTTGATCACTACAAGAACATTTATAGTTCATAGTTCATAACTAATAATATAACCTCATCAAGCTCTTGATCGATTTTCAATAGTAATTATTGTTGACATTTTCTTCCTATTTGATATGTTACAGAATTGAATTTTGGGGCAATATTTGTGTTAAAAGATTAATTAAGGGCACAAGATGGCAATTTTGGAATATTATAAAATTAACATTTGTAGAAAATAATTAAAATAAGGAAGGTAAATTTAATATCGTAAACCACAAGGGAAGTTAGTTTAATATTGGCTAAACCTGAGGGCAGGTCAGAAACTTCCCTTTTCTTTTAGAGTATCTCATTGAATAAGGTGTCACTAATTACCCCCATCATCCCATAATTATACGTAACATGTTCAAAATATATAATAAAAAAGCGAAAGATAAAGAAAAGGAACGGTTTAATTTGCTTCAAAATGACTTTCACATCTCTGACCCTCATCTCTAATTTTTCTCTTCTTTTTTCATGGCAGCCATGATCTTACCACAGGTGAAAACAAAGGCGATCTTGAGGTAATGTCATAGGTTTTATACACTTCTTGGTGGTTGTCTGAAAATTTTAAATGGACACTTAGTTATTGAAAAAGTTTCAAAATAGACACTTTAATGCTTTATCTCTATTAGTTTGTAATCCTAGACTCATCCAGTGCACGTGATTCCAGATGCATAATCCTGCAGTTTATGGAAGAGAAACAATTGGCAAGGGTTACCTACCAGCCTTAAGTTGTAGAAGGTTAAACGTAGTACACTACAAAGATTCTAGAAATCATTTTTACCGAGTTATACGTAGAAAAAAGTTTATATCAGATACTTATTAGAAAAACAATTATATCAGATTGTAAAACAAAGGATAGTAATTTAGTCAATAAATTTTGTGAACGGATTTTTCTTTTATTGTTAACGAATAAATTTACCCGCGCCTCGCGCAGGATTTTTAATATCATGGAATTCATAAAATAATACTTGGAACCTATTGGTCATTAAAACTAAAACACTATATTATCTTACTTACAAAATTACGTAGTAACGAATATTAATAATGTAAAGGTTTAAAGGAAAATGATAATTATAACATCTTATCATTTATCCTTCAATCAATAATCTTTAATTTGATTTTATAATTTTATTTCTTTTGCCTCCAGGTAGTCTTACTATTTGATATTTTTGGGAATCAAATTAACATCCCCCTGAGATATTAAACTTTCTAATAAATAAATAATACAAGGCTGAAAAAGTGAACAAATATTCTAATTTTAATGTGTAGAAAGTTCAGCTCTACCTTTTGCTTTACATATTTCATTTTAAGTCCCCCATTTAAATGTTTCAAAAGAAATTATCAAAATGGAAAGTTAAAGGGAGAGTGATATTGGACAACAATTCAACTTTTTGTATATACTTGAAAGGGAAAATTTAGAACCTATCGGTCATTAAAACTAAAACACTATATTATCTTACTTACAAAATTACGTAGTAACAAACATTAATAATGTAAAGGTGTAAAGGAAAATGATAATTATAACATCTTGTCATTTATCCTTCAATCAATAATCTTTATTTTGATTTTATAGTTTTATTTCTTTTGCCTCCAGGAAGTCTCAAGTCTTACTATTTGATATTTTTGGGAATCAAATGAACATCCCCCTAAGAAATTAAACTTTTTAATAAATAAATAATAAAAAACTGAAAAAGTGAACAAATATTCTAATTTTAACGTGTAGAAAGTTCAGACCTACCTTTTGCTTTACATATTTCATTTTAAGTTCCCCATTTAAATGTTCCATAAGAAATTTTTAAAATGGAAAGTAAAGAGAGAATGTATCATATTGGACAACAATTCAACTTATTATATATACTAGAAAGGGAAAAATATCACACTAAAATGTTCAGTTTGTTTGGGTGTTTTTTAAATTAAATCAACATACCAGAGTGATAGAGTTCAATTTGATACTATACTTCTATTCCGATCGCAGTGTTGAGAAACACATTTATTACTTATGAAAAGTATTTACAACTTGTAGTAAACTTGTACTCAAAGGATAGTGTGAACAAATGTTTATTGTGCCTTATCGGAAGTCAACTCTTTGGAAAAGTTACAACCCTTTAAAAAGGTCACAACACTTCATAAAAGTCGAAACTGTTCAGGAAAGGGAAAGGCTAGTTTTGGAAATAAATAATTAAAAGGGAATCTTGGTTTGTGGTGGCACCACGTAAGCGAGGTTAGGTTCTTTTTTATTATTGTTGTTGTTATTACTATTATGGTTTTGTGAGGGGATACATATTATTTCAGTCTTGATATTATGTTCTCTAAGGTTACAAATTCATTTTCTCACCTTGACTAATTCCATGAGATACTTGTCACCTCCCACCTACAACATGTATCAAGTAACTCTGTCCACCAAAGCCAGAACATATGGAAGAAATCACTAAGTATTTTTGTCCCTACTAGGATTGGAAATTTAGACCTCATGGTTCTTAATCAATTTCATAGACCACTTGGACACACCCTTGGATAAAACATCTACTTTTTCCAATTTCCTCTTTTTATCTTCCATGTGAAAGAAAATTGTGTTAGAGGTGAAAGTTGACCTGTTATTTTTTTTGAATCCGTTATCGTGTTACTCCATTATTGTCATTTCTGGGCTTGGTATTTCTGATGTTCACAAGAGTATTGCACATTTTAATTTCTCTCCATTCTTGTGATCATCTTTCTTGTCCAGAACCCCTAAATCCACTTCCCTCCGGCACATGGATCATGGAATACTTAAAATATGTTACTTTCTGAAGAAAGAAAGTAAAATCCTTGTTTACTTAGCTCTAAATTTGTGTTGAATAATTGTCTCAAAAGTTTTTGGAATATTGGTGTTTCGCCTACAGTCAGGACATTTCTATTGATTCACGAACTAATATGCATCTTTGGAGCACTATTTGTCATGTTGTCATTGATAAAGCATGTTAACTTTAATATGCAGACTTGTTCTAGAGCTGCCAGTGTTCTTTCGCATGTCATTAAGGGTAATAATCTATGCAAGGAAAAGGTATGTTATGTTCTTTCCACCACCCAAAGATGTTTTCCTTACTCTGCGTAAAATAAGTTTTTTACACATGAATAAAAAGATAAAAGGTATATTCATCTTGGAGAGAATGGACCAATATTTGGATATTTTTGGATCTTTTCTTTTAGGTGGGAAATGTAGTATGACTTTGGAGATGTTGTACTTGGTCCAGTACCATCTTGGTTTATGTTTTATGGAGCTAGAATAAATTCTTTTATGTTTTGTGGAGCTAAAATTCATACACATTATAGACACAGCAAAATACACCTTATATTCGGGAGAACAGTCACTCTGGACTGTGTTGCTGTTTCTGTGATAAGAATTATAATTTACAGAAGTTGTCCTTATTCTTTGATTATAACATGTAAGTGAATTGCAGGTTCTGCATATTGAACTTCTACAACCTACTCCCATTCTAGGAAGCCCAGAGCCTTTGTTACACTGTATGGTGAAGTATCTGGCTCTTGCCTCTTGTATGAAAAGTAAAGATGGAAAATCAAGCACATCCGAGAATGTGTTTGTTCAGTCTGTTATCCTGAAACTGTTAATTATTTGGCTTTCTGATTGTCCAAATGCGGTGCAATGCTTCTTGGATTCACATTCTCACCTAACGTATTTGCTGGAGCTGGTCTCAAGTCCTACCACAACTGTTGGTGTAAGGGGCTTGACTGCAGTACTATTAGGGGAATGTGTAATCTACAACAAAAGCAATGCTAGTGGAAAGGATGCCTATAGCATAGCTGATGCCATAAGCCAAAAAGTTGGGTTTACATCGTACTTCTTAAAGTTTGATGAAATGCAGAAAAGCCATCTTTTTACATCTGCTAAACCATTTTTGCCAATTAAACCATTGACAAGATCTACTGTTGCTAGTATGGATGAGATTGAATATGGTAGAACTGAACCATCTGATGAGCATTGTATGCTTACATCAGTATTTGATTCTCCATTCATATATTCTTTGGAGTGCTTAGTGGCTGATATTAGAGAAAAGATGGTAGAAGCTCACAGAAGCCCTAAGAGCCAGGTGACCGTGGTACCAGCAGATCTTGAACAACAGGGTGAGGAGAACGATGTTGACTATATCAAGCGGCTGAAGACTTTTGTGGAGAAGCACTACCATGAGATACAGGCAAGTAGGGATTTTGGATTTATGTTCCTAATAAATGCACTTTGTCAATTTAGTACAAGCTTAGAATAATTTGTATCTCACTATCTTTACATCTGAATATAGTTTTGCATGCACAGTTAGGGTCTAAGCTGCAGGACAAAATTTGTCCACGTAAGAAATATTTTTCAATAAATACTTGAATCAATTCGAGGAAAACTGTCATGGCAATTTTTAAAAATAATTTAGTCATCTTTATTCAAAATGGTAAAAAGTTGCAGCACGACAACTCAAAGGAAAGGTTAAGTACCTTCTCTTTTGATAGGCTTAAGAAAGCTCAAGTTACTTATATACTTATGGACCTCTAGGTACTTAATGAGTTGGTCTATACTGATGCTGCATTCATGTAAGTATATGTTACCTGACTGGTATTATACTGTTTATATCCTTCCACTAAAAGTAAAGATTTGCTTCTTAATGAGGCCTTGCAGAGTGGAGATAACAAGACGCTGATGGAGAGCGACGCAATGATTGATTTGCTTGTGTGCCTTGGACAGGAGCAGAGGAAAGTAGACAAACTTAGCTCTAGGCTGAGAGAGCTAGGTGAAGATGTAGGTAAATTGCTGGAAGACGTCGTGGATGATGTTGATGCTGATGAAGACGACTAGTCTTAATGATGTTTTCTTGATCTACAACAGACTAGCCTTTACTGTGTTCCAAAATTTTGTATAAGCATATCTGTTTTTTTTTTGTGTATATATCTGATATAATTGAGAAAAGACGGTTATTAATGAAGTTGTTTCGAATTTGAAGACATCTTAGCTTTGGGGGTGTACCTCATTTTTCACCCAATACCACTTATAAAAAAAATATATGTATGTTACGCATAATCACTTGCCACGTGTTAAAAATAATTTTGAATTATTTTTATTTGATTTCTTTTCTTTTTCTTTTTCTTTTTTTCTTTCTTTGCCTGAACTTCTGCTCTTCTGCCATTCCCTTCATTGCGCTGCAACTCGTCAAATACGCTAGGCGCTCCCGTGGTTCGCGAGAAGGAAAAAGGCTCGAGATAGCTGCCTGATGAGAGGAAGGGACGCCGGGTACAATCTTTCTTTGGTTCCAGCCCCCCGGTTACACCAAAGCACGCCGTGGAGGGGTAAATTTCATAGCAGCACAACCAATTGTTTGTCAAACTACCATCAATTAATTTACTTATAAAAATAAACACCGCAAATACTCATAATCTAAATACTCAAAATATCATCAAAGTCAAAATTTGATATTTAAATCACCACTTTTTCTAACTTTTTACTCCCAAATCCAATCTTGATTCGTAGGAGAGAAAAATCTCTTAAAAGAAGAATAAGAATGAACATGATAACATTAATTTTAAAAAAAAAATGGTAAGGTAAAAGAGAAAAAAATAAAAGTGAAAGAAGACATGGATGCCCAAGAAATAATATGATAAGCTAATGGTGGTAGTGGTAGAAAAATGAGAAAAAAAAATTGAAAATTTTAAAACTATTCATAATAAAGTTAAAAAAAATTAATACATGGGTTTCTATAAATATTCTCAAAATAAGTCAAATTGTGAATGTCAAATGGTAATTTTAAGTTGTCTGAAGATGTATCAAGAGCCCTTCATGCGCTCATATTTCATGACAATACAAGTGATTAAAATTAGTCTAAAGTGAATATTTATTGTGGTTTAAGATGGTTTTATGGGTAATAGAACATCCGCAAAGTTAAGGTGTTTTTTTTAAAATTTGGAGCAACTTCAATGATGATTTTATGTCTTTTCTCACATAATTATACACATTCAAAATTTTACGGTATCACCTCGGAAAAATGAGGGAAATCCCACCTTTAATTTTTTTTATTACCATTATCCCTTATTAGTTTTATAAATTCTCAAAATTCCTCATTTTTGCGCATCAGATTAATGTATCCACGTATCATATTAATATATCTCGCGCATCAAATTAATATATCATGTATAAAATGTACATCAATTAATGTATCATGTATAAAGTGTAATGTATCTTACTTTTGTAATTATAAACTTATAAGGGACAAATGGTAATTTTACCTAAAAAATATGTGATTTTTGTCCTTTGCCCTATAATAAATATAATGTTTTGAAAAATATAATAAGAAAATGACTATAATTAATGATGAGGGTAAATTAGGAACAAAGTCTAAAATTATTCATTGATTACATAAATGAATAAAAATATAGTTGAACATCTCAAAATAATATAGTTGACAACTATTATTAGACGAAAGGATAACTATAATTAAGTTTGTTAGGGAAATTTCATCATTTTTATCTAACTCTAACATATTTCTATTTAACATATAGTAACTAATATTTAAATTATCTAACCATATAAAAATTGAACTGAAGTCGAGTACTTATTATTAATGTCATTTGGGTTTAATAGTTGATTGTTGTGTTGTTTTATTTCTTCTCCCAACTCGAAGCTGTACTTTCTAACTCTAACCAAACTCTTATTTATTTATTTATTTTATTATTATTATAATATATTATATGATGTTGTTAAGACCCATTAACAGTGTTTTTTTTTCGTCCCCAACTTTCTTTGAAAAAATAATAGTCACATGAAATATTTGAAATACCAAACTCGTGCATAAGGGTCCCATGAATGATGATATAGTTTCTCGAAATCTGTTCCTGCTTTATCAATTTAGTCAACCATTTTACTCCTAAATTCGTTTTATAAACCACAATCCAGGCAAATAATGCAATAGCTCCTCTACATAAATATACTTCATATATTTTATTGCAAAGAGAATGGCTATAATATAATGGCAATTGGTGTTATGTACAACAAGTTGTCTGTTTTTTTTCCTGCCAAATTATAGTCACGGTTTTTCCCTAACAGTCCCACTCTCCAGCTGACCTAAACAGACACATTGCTATCGAACTGTGCATGATATGACAAATACTCCCTTCCGTCCCAAAGTAAATATTTATCTAATTTTTATACTGTTATACTTCGTATAAACAAGACATTATGTATATTGATTTATTAATGACCGTTATTTTCGCTAAGAAGAAGTAATTGTCAATATAGAGGTGGATAGATAGAAACCATGTTAGACCTCCCAACATTGATATTTATATGTGAAAAATTTATCAGTAGTACTATGAATTCAGCGATCAACATTAAAAAAACGAAAATAATTAACTTTAAATCTTCAATCCGTTTCAATATAATTTATCGGCCTATGATAAAATCAAATTTTAGGATAGATTGGTCTGAATGAGGAAAGAAACAAAAAGATAATACGAATCCAGAGCATAGCCACGACCTGTCAGATTCTCTTCCTATTCTCTCTCACCCGGACCAATCACTTTTACCACATACATCTTTTATATTTATTTTTTAATAATCGTAGTGTCGAGATCAGCTTTTATTAATTCTATGGAATATCATCCGGCAACAAGTATTAGGTAATTGTATCTATCAAGGCCAACACAAATAGGAAGAATCACCCGAGTATTTTTTTTCTCCTCTTGGCTCTCAACTACTCCACGAGTACACATACATTCTTTTTTCACCCTTTATATACTAGTGACTCTCATTATCTTCTATCTTCATCGTACACTCAGGATGAAACTGTTAGAATTTTTTTTAATGTTAATGTTGTTTACTATTAGCACAAGTAGTGCTAGAAGGGATAATACATTGAAGGTGGCTAATGAAGAAAAAGACTACTTGAATTGGATTCATCGCATGAGTTCTCGCAATCATTCTGTTTTCCAAGAAGCTAAGAACAAATTAGAGCCTTGTAAATTTATTAAGGTGAATAAAAACCCGAAATTCGGAGATTTTACTACGGTTCAGAAGGCTATTGATTCAATCCCAATAGTCAATTCGTGTCGAGTGGTTATTTCTGTTAGTCCTGGAACTTACAGGTAAATTTTGTACACCTGTTTTCTGCTTCTTAATTTTGATACATTCGCAATTTTATGGAAGTGTTTTGTTAAAATTTTGTAGGGAAAAGATTGAAATTCCAGCAACAATGGCTTACATTACCCTGGAAGGTGCTGCTTCACATAAAACAACTATCAAATGGGATGACACTGCAGATAGGACAGGAAAAAGTGGCCAACCAATGGGAACTTATGGTTCCGCAACTTTTGCTGTTAATTCCCCCTATTTCATTGCCAAAAACATCACCTTTAAGGTAGTTGTATTGTCATGTCTAACAATATATTAACAACTAATTTTATCTCTGCATGTTAACGTGGTGGAGTCAGAATTTTTAATAATGTACTTGCTAGTATAAGTTATCTATCCATAAGAGAATATTTAAACACAAGTATTCTATTTGAGCAAAAGGTATTGGGTTGCGAAGCTCTGTAAAATGTATTCAAGGTATAATTCTTGGATTAACATTTATAAGTACGGACAATATTTGTACAATTGATAAATCGGAAAAACTTTTGGAAAAACTGTTGCATGTCTTTAGGTGAATAAAAAATTAATTGATTCCTCCGTGAACAGAATGTAGCACCACCACCACCATCAGGGGCACTAGGAAAGCAAGCGGTGGCATTAAGAATATCGGCAGACACAGCGGCGTTCATAAATTGCAAGTTCATTGGAGCACAGGACACACTGTATGATCACAGGGGCAGGCACTATTTCAAGAACTGTTATATTCAAGGTTCTGTAGATTTTATATTTGGTGATGGGCTCTCCCTTTATGAGAATTGTCATTTACGTGCAAAAACAAAAAGCTATGGGGCATTGACAGCCCAGAAGAGGGAGAGTTTACTGGAGGAAACTGGATTCTCTTTTCTCAATTGCAAAGTTACTGGATCTGGTGCTCTTTACTTGGGCAGGGCTTGGGGTACTTTCTCTAGGGTCGTATTTGCTTACACTTATATGGATAAAATTATCACATCAAAGGGATGGTATGACTGGGGAGATAAGAACAGGCATATGTAAGTTCTTCCCTTTCTTTTTTCATACTATAGAACGCGAATTTACTGAGGTATTTATGTTGATCTGCAGGACGGTATTTTTTGGGCAATTCAAGTGTTCAGGACCAGGGGCAGACCATGGTGAAAGGGTGAAATGGTCCAGGGAGCTCACTGAACAAGAAGCTAAACCGTTTATCTCACTCAGTTTCATAGATGGTCATGAATGGTTACTCCATATTTGATTTCTTTGATGGCAGTCAGCAGTCTTTACTCCTGTACAATTACGCAATTCATATTGCAAAGTTAGAAAATTATTTTTCCCAGGCACCGTCTTATAGAGCGATTTTCCCATCCACGACCACAAAAATAGAAAAAGAACCTACTCCTACTTTCATCAAACCAGAATACAGTTGCGCAACAATAAATTTTATCAGCATTCATTTTCACGAACTGTTGCTTTTCTATGCTATTTGGTTGAAAGATCCGTTAATTTGACTAAGCTAGGCAAAGCCAACTGAATACCAAGTGGGTCAAGTGGTCCAGTACAATCGTCGAGAAGAATTCACAGCGAAAAGTATGTCACACAACGCCTTATCAAATCAAATGCAACCAAACTTCACCTACCCAAGGAATGAAGTAACGGGTCTTGTATTGCAAGAAGTTGAAAGCTATGTATATAAGTTTACAAGAGACGACAATTATAAAATAAACTGTACAAGTATAAACAAATATACAGTAGATACATTTCCACCATGACGGTCAGTTAAAAGCAGACCTGCTTTCCTCAAGTAATTGAACTGTACAATACCAACAGGCAGCCTGACAGAAACAAACTGACCAAGTCAACAACGAAAAGTAATATACAAGAGTTTAGAAAGATTATGATCAAAAGCACAATGGAGAAAGACGTGATAGAAGTTACTGGCAAACAAATATAGGTCCTCTAGATGTCAATAACATATATAGAGAACATCAGATATCAACATCTCGTGTTCACGTTGTAATGGAGAAGAAACCCAACATTCCTAGAATATGGACACTTCTTAAACAGCTACTGCTCATACTCAGCAAGGACATCCCACACACATCCCTTGGTATGCAGCAAAGACAACCAACATAACATCACCACCAAGACAAAGGGAGAGAAAATTACTGTGGGACTGGCCAAAACAGATAGTGATAGCATGATATATTTTTTTGCAAAGGATATGCATACAGTTGTCATCGACTATAGAAAAATGATGTAATGTTCATATAAAAATCAAATCACCCACTATTAGAGAAAACTGAAAAATAAACACAGGCCACGCACCACATAGATGATCAGGACTGGAATAGAGTTACAGTCGCAATGTAACCGTTCTTCATCACCTGTGACAAAATAAGCAAATATCCTAGTGAAGCAATAGGAAACGAAAGCACAAAGGGAAGAGAGATAAAGTGTGAGGCAGAACCACAGTGTACTGTGGGGTATACAGTCATTTATTTGAAACAAAAAAAAATCACCTCAAAGGCAAGATTTTGGTAGCCATATACAAAGGTAGATCCAAACGGATTGCTCGCAGAGCCTTGCGTCTGGATAGCAGCTCGACCACAATCCCCTAGTATCTCCTGCAGAATCATAGCAACTTAACAATGAGTCAGATTACAATTGCGCCCAGAAAAAAGAGGATGTCAGATGATAGGTATATACACAGGTGTACACAAAAGTTTGCCCATTAGTTCCAAGTATCATTAACATGAACTGATTCTGAGTTTTTAAAAACTGAGTGGGGGTGGGGGAACAACGCGGAGTAATAATTATCCAGAACACAAATAGTAAGAACTTCCAACTTTAAAACCTTGAAGAAATACCACTAAATGAACAGAATACCAACGAATCAAACAGAAGAATTCACCTTAACTTGTTCCCATTTTGTGCTGGCTGTAATAGTGGCTTTAGAGGAGTTTACATCCTGATGATAAGACCCTACAACTGCAGAAAAAAGGATGCGAAAAGTATTAAAATGAATATCCAATTCTTTTAAATTGGTATAACGAAAGAGCGCTGTAGATCATGAAGAATCAACTCACAATCAGAACAATGGATAACAAAATTGCACTTCATGTATGAATTAAAATCAGCATGCCCAGGATAGTTGGTGTGCAAGACAAATTTCTTGATTTTATGTGTCTGCAAATAAACCACAATAATCTGAGAACAGATATAGACTTCATTAAATGTGCTCATGGAAACTCAGAGGATGACATACCTGCCCATCAAACAGTATATCTAAGCCACGAGTAAAGTAGTTGTAGAAGTAATCACCACAAAGAGTTGTCCTCGGCCGGAGATCTGACGCAGAATGAATCACCATTTGATCAACCTGCATAACTAATGAAATCAATCCCCACCAACAATCTAACATGTAGAAACTTGAAGGAACTCAGAAGAAGCTGGATATATCAATTTTCTGTTAAGACGCCAAAGAAATATAGCACTACCTGTTTTTGATGGATTCCGCATGGTCGACCTAATTCGGTCCAAACATCCTGCATAAAGATAAGATAAGACAAGGTTTTGCATGGTTGATTCAGTCATCAAAACATATGTAATAAAGGAACAGGGCTATATGCAGCACGAACAAACCTATGCCAGACCACACGCAACATACAAGGACAGATGGATTCAAGCATTGTAAAACTAAAAGGAAACTACTAACGCACGCAACATATAAGACAGATGGATTCAAGCATTGTAAAACCAAAAAATGAACTAAGTTCAACCCTAGTTCAGTAAATGAGCTAAAATAGGTTTTCAGCCTCCTGTCCCCCTTTTAACTTCAGGAAAAATCTACTTCTGCGTTGCAAGCCATCCTGAACTTCTTTTAGGCAATAGGGATACGATTATTGGATGGAATCTAGACTGAAGACAGTATCATAATTCATATCAATACAATTAGAGTTTCCACAATATCAAGGAAAAATAATCCAATGGAAGACAGAAGAACATTAAACAACTCAAGCGAATGATTAACCCCAGAACAATCTAAAGAAAGAGTAGTTACCTGTGGCGATGCACCAAAGGGGATGTGTTGTCCACCAATGCTAAACTGTAATTCTTCCCCCAGCTAAAGAAGATAGAAAACAAACAAATCATATGTAAATCAACTGACTGCATGTCGGAGCATTTAATTGTCAAACTTAACAAATGACACTTGACAAATTTTTTTATGATCTAAACTACTGCACAGAAAGACGTGAACTTTTTATCTTTAGAAGTAGAAAATAACTACTAAATCATTCATCAAGTGCCAAGATTCAACACTATGGAGCACGA